CACCAACGAATAGTGGGATTGACCGTCACATTATAACGCCCCCACGGCTGAAAGGGCGAGCATGTTTGGTGGGACGGAGATTTGAACCCGCGACCCTCAGATTGCGAGTCGAATGCCCTAACAACCTGGCCATGCTGGGTCGCATTCAAGTGTGTATTTCACTGTATGACATTAAATTTTATGTCATCATTTTTATATTTCAAATTTTTTATTACTTGTTTTGTTACATTTTCCTCTGAAAAGTTTGTGAATTATATGAATATGTGTAATAAAACTCAATATTATGTGTACTATTTTTTTTTTACTCCTTCGCTGCATATATAACATAGGGATTCGTTCTCTAAATACATTGATTGTTTTGTGTAAAAAGCACATAGTATTCTACGTGTTACAGTCTTCTCATTCTCATCTATTATCGGCTATTAATTCCTGTTCTACCCTGTACATCATCGTTTTTTAAAGGAACAACAAATTTCTGTAAAAAGAAAGCTAACATCGTTTACACTAGAAATGTAAGTTTTTTTTTTTTAATTACTACTATTTACTACGACTAAACGATGATATCGTGCACTCTAAAGAAACACACCGAGTGGATTCGCCTGAAACGTGTGATAAATTAGTTGTAGAGTTATCTCCACTGACACACGAAGAAGAAAGATGAACAATTTAGTGGGATGGTCACTTTCTGGTTTGCTATTTTAGCGATGGTTTCATGCCTTGTTTGTGGGCTTCTTTGGTAGAAAAACAAATGAAAGTGAGTGGCAATCATCTTTTAAAGTAAGACTCTCTATCATTGTTCATTTTTTAGCCTACATATTTGTATTATGCCTATTGAGTACCTTGGCCATCGCTACATATATTGTCTACCGACTCTATGATATTCTTCCTAGCACGTCAACTCTAATCACACTCACTGTTTAGCTGTTGTTGGTGTAAAGTTATCAAACTGTTTTAATAATACCTACAGTACACTCATATATTACTTCTAATCATGAACAACTTAGCTAGTTATTATAATTTTAGTTATACTTTAAGGTCACCCCTAATCGTTCTGGCCACTAATGATCAAGATTCGTTTAATAGTGCTTATAATGATAATACTAATAACCACACTGATTTTGTCAAAACCCAAAGATTACTTTGATTTCTTATATTACCTCAAGATAAATTAAGTTAATGCTATCAAAAATGCAACAAAAGGTCATATTTTTGTCTATTTAAAATGCAAAAGACTAAAATGGGCCCATATGATGTCATTTGACACGCTTTTAAGTGTCATATTATAAATCATAACTGTTTTACATTTAAAATATCTAACAAGACTCACTCATGCACTTATTTTGGAAGGTCACTGTTATATAATACTTTAAGTCGTAGAGTAGCGAATGTAATTTATAGCGAATCTAATTAGTTGTGTTTGGTATAAAAAGTGGCATGCACATCAGTTTTGATTCCTACTAAAATGATACCTGATGTACTATCAAAAAGATGGTTCGAAATAAATTGCTTTTTTATTAGATTACATGAAAAAGAAACAACTACAATGTTGTGTTTATAAAGTTTACCAACATACTTCACTTATTTGTGTTTTCAAGCTTTTTTGCATTTAGAACAAAATCTCTTTACTTAATCACAATTTACAATTATCAGTGTATTGTGTGCAATCGACTATATGTTGGATATAAAATTCGATGTATTCGTGCTTTTGGAAAACATGTCAATCCCAAAATAGTGATTCGTCAAGCATAGTGTTTTATCTCAGGAAATCAGATTTGAGTATTTTTCATGATAGAATAAGGAAAGAATGAGTTTGAGCTATGAATTAAGGAAACTTTGGTCGCAAGCAAAGTAAAACATGAGATAGATGGAAAGATGTTATGCTTGAT